CCTCGGGCAGAGCGAGAGACAGCGCGGGCCGGGCCGGGCCGCACGACCCCGGGGGTGGGGGTGGGTGAAGCCTCGGTCAAACCCGGGGCTCCTGTGAGTAAGGTAAAGGCTGGGAGACCCGCAGGCCTCCCTGAAACCCAGGAGCTCCTCTGTCTCTTTCTTTCTCTCTCTCTCTATATATATCTATCTCTCTGTTATTCAAAGGTCGCTGTTTCCTTCTGCCTGTTGGAAATCTGACCCGCTTTAAAAGGAAAAAGCTGCTTATTCCTAACAAAAGCATGCCCCCTTTCAAGGCGGTCAGCAGCCCTTTATGGCATTTCAAGCATCCTCCTTTATCCCTCCTAAGCAAAAGCTGTTGGCGTATTCCTACGGACGGGGTATACCTAGATCAGTGGGTCTCAACCTCCTTAGACCCAGCCCTGCTTAAACTGCAAGCAGCCCTCAGAAAATGCCGGCTTTTCGTTTTCGCTTGTTTGATTACCCAAACACACCCACACAGCAACACTGCATTTTTCCTCTTGCGCGCACGCAAAATAATACAGCATTTTTCCTACTGCACGCATGCACGCGCACAATAATACAACAATTTTCCTATTGCACACACGTGCACAAAATAATACAGCATTTGTCCTATTGCACACGCGCGTGCACACACGCAACATAATACAGCATTTTTCCTATTGCAGAGAACTCAGAAAGACTACCACAAGGGTTGGCATTTTTAATAAGATGGATTCCTATTTGAAGTAGCTGGTTTGTCTTGTGAATCATGTTTGCATACCTAATAGGGCTAATATTGCATGGCACCTTGCAGTACCCTTGAGAAGATCTCAAGACACCCTGATTTGAAATTGCTAACCTAGATAGTGGGTTTTGTTTTACGCTCTGGGTTTCTTGCTTTTAGCATTTTTCAATGCCATTGTTCACCCCTTGAGGGAATGGTTTTGGCCTACTTTTCAGCATTCTCTCTTTTGGTCCCACAGCCTCCTACACATGCTAAAGATAAAGGCAACTCTCCTGTTTCAGTGCTGGATACCTGTCACTTCCCAGGGACAGTCTTAAATCCATAGTGCTGCTAATCCAGGGAGCTAAGGAGCAGATCTCTGTTGGTAGTTCATTACAACTTCACTAAAGCATCGGTTCAGTCCCTGAGAACGAGGGCTGCACAGAAAAGCAAACAGGGCTCTGGCTGAAAGCAGATAAATGAGTGTATGCTTCACCCTGTGTGAGCACGAAGTGCTTCTCTCTACTGTAAATGTCATCTCTCTGTCGAGCAAGTGGTCTCCCGAAACGCACCAAACGTTTCTGTCTAAAATGCTCCCAAGAATGAAGCAGGCTCAGCAGGGAGGTAAAAAATGCTGAGAGCAAGCAACCACGACTCAGAGAACAGCTGAGAGTCCACAGTTCTGTACAGGGCTTGCAGCACTGCTCTTCATGTGAAGACCCCCAAAAAAACAACCCTTGGGGATTTCTAACTCCCCTCACCCCAACCCCCCAGCCTCTTTTAATGGCAAAGCAAAGCAATAACAAAGATATGGAAACGGAGTCTACTGAATAATAGCTTAACGATGTGAACCCTTTTGAATGGGGCTGCTTTAGTGAGAACTGCTGGAATCTTTTCACAGTAGGGAGTGATATGAGGATACAAGAAACCTGGATAAGCAGTGGCATTAGATTGAACCAAAATGGGATGGATGCTACCAGATTGTTAAATTAAATGAAATGAGCTACATTTTAAAACCAAGTCTGAGAATGAATACTGAGCACTCACATTCACATATTTTTATTGGGCCAGTTATTAACGCTTTCACTGGTGTAATGAAAGTGGTTTTCCCAGTGTCTTTGGGTAGAGGAGCAGGAATGAAGAGATGAATGAAATGTATTACATTAAATCTGAGCAGCATACTTTCAAATGTGCTAAAACTGTAGAAACCAGCTCCTGTAACATCACTTACACTGGAATTTATCTTCTTCAATGCATACGAAACTTGCAGCTGATCATAGTTATCTAGAAAGATAAAATAAAACAATCCTGTTCACTTTACCCATGCCTGATGCCACACATGAATCTAGATCTCTAGGGTAGACCTGCTAGTATCCTAAGGCAGCCACGATCTTCTCCTTATCATTGCCAAACTTTTAACATGCAATATCTGATCTCAGAGGTCCCTTCCAGCCCCTAAAGTCTATGAAATCTTAATGCTTGGTGTACTTGCCCAGGATTTTCTTACATTATATAAACTTGAAGGCACTCTGAGGACAGAATTCAGTCATCAGTATCTATTGTTGCCCTTACACTTATTTCAGGTTTGCTTATACATGATATTTTGCAAGAAGATTATTCATTGTATTGGAAAAGGCAATTTAGCATTGGAATTTGCCCAGTGTGAGACCAGCTGAGATTAATCTGCCCCTGTAGCATGTAGCATGTGGAAGGATCAACTGGATTTCTTCTTCTTTTTTTTTTTGCCAGAGCTGGGTAATAAATCAGAAGTATATTGCATGTACATAGAGCTGCTGGTGGAGAGAAAATAAATCACTTTTTCCTCCTTCTTTTTGGGCAGGATCAGAGCACCTTGGAATAAATGTAAGGACAAATTCTGCACTAGCTGAAACTACCTTAGAAAGTCATGGCTGCTGCCCCACATCTCAACTCAGATGCCCTCCGGGAAGTCCTGGAATGTCCCATTTGCATGGAGTCCTTTACAGAAGACCAACTGAGACCCAAACTCTTACACTGTGGGCACACCATTTGCAGGCAATGCTTGGAGAAACTGCTGGCGAACAGCATTAATGGGATACGCTGCCCCTTCTGCAGCAAGATCACTCGAATCACAAACTTGGCTCAGCTGACTGACAACCTCACAGTGCTGAAGATCATAGACACTGCAGGGCTGAGCGAGGCTGTGGGGCTTCTCATGTGCAAGGCTTGTGGAAGGAGGCTCCCCAGGCACTTCTGCAAGAGTTGCAACTTAGTTCTGTGTGAGCCATGCAAAGAGATGGAGCACGTGCAACGAGGGCACGACATCATTGCTATCAAAGAGGCTGCCGATGAGAGAAGGAAGGAATTTGGGGCAAAGCTTGGCAGGTTACGGGAGCTCATGGGGGATCTGCAGAAGAAGAAAGCATCACTGGAGGGGGTCTCCAAAGACTTGCAAGCCAGATACAAAGCAGTCCTGCAGGATTACAGCAAGGAGGAGCGCAAGATCCAAGAGGAATTGTCTCGGTCACGCAAGTTCTTCATGAACTCTTTGTCAGAAGTGGAGAAAGTAAATAACCAGATAATGGAAGAACAAGCTTATCTGCTGAACTTAGCAGAGGTGCAGATAGTGTCCCGGTGTGACTACTTCCTTGCCAAAATTAAGCAGGGAGATATAGCTGTTTTGGAGGAGGCAGCAGATGAAGAAGAGCCAGAGCTGACCAATAACTTCCCAAGAGAGCTGACTCTGCAAGAGGTTGAGCTCCTCAAGGTGGGCCATGTGGGGCCACTGCAGATTGGGCAGGTGGTAAAGAAACCTCGGACTGTCAACATGGAAGAATCGCTGATGGAGACTGTCGCATCCTCATCGGTGTCATTTAGAGAGATTGACGTGGGGCAGGAAGAGACTTGTTTGACACCAAACTCTTCACCGGCTAAGCCAAGGATGCCTGAAACAGCCTCTAGTATCCAACAGTGTAACTTCATCAAGAAGATGGGCTCTAAAGGCAGCCAGCCAGGGATGTTTAATCTTCCCGTCAGTCTCCATGTCACTGTCCAGGGAGAGGTACTAGTGGCAGATCGTGGCAATTTCCGAATCCAGGTATTTACCCGCAAGGGCTTTCTGAAAGAGATCCGGAGGAGCCCTAGTGGCATCGATAGCTTTGTACTGAGTTTCCTTGGAGCGGACCTACCTAATTTGACTCCTCTTTCTGTCACCATGAACTGCCATGGTCTGATAGGAGTGACTGATAGCTATGATAACTCAGTAAAGGTGTATACCATGGATGGACATTGTGTGGCATGTCACAGAAGCCAGCTAAGTAAGCCGTGGGGCATCACTGCTCTGCCTTCTGGGCAGTTTGTTGTGACCGATGTGGAAGGGGGAAAGCTTTGGTGTTTTACTGTGGACCGCAGCGTTGGCATAGTTAAGTACAGTTGCCTATGCAGTGCAGTGCGCCCAAAGTTTGTCACTTGTGACACTGAAGGAACTATATACTTCACTCAAGGGCTGGGACTCAACCTGGAGAACCGTCAGCATGAGCACCACCTGGAAGGGGGCTTTTCAATTGGCTCTGTTGGTCCGGATGGGCAGCTAGGCCGCCAGATCAGCCACTTCTTCTCGGAGAATGAGGATTTCCGGTGCATTGCTGGGATGTGTGTGGATGCCAGGGGAGATCTGATTGTTGCGGACAGCAGCCGTAAAGAAATTCTGCATTTTCCTAAAGGAGGTGGCTACAACATCTTAATCAGAGAAGGACTCATCTGCCCTGTTGGAATAGCCATTACACCCAAGGGGCAGCTGCTAGTGCTGGACTGCTGGGATCACTGCATTAAGATCTACAGTTACCATTTAAGGAGATACTCAACACCGTAAGGGCATTTCAGTGCATAAAAGCGCCTCTCATAGATTCTTCCAGCCTCATCACAACTTGACAGTAGTCAGTGCCAAACCTTCGGGTAGACTGCCATACCAGTTTGGAGGGTGGCACATAGGGGCCATCTGTATTTTGTGTTTAGAAATCAAATAGCTTGTGTGGTGTTTTTTTTTATTTGTAAAAAAAAAAACCCCTTTGTTGGAGTGAAGGGTATTTGGAGAGTACAGGTTTTGTGTCCAGTGACTGATCACTCCATAAACATTACCTCCTTGTGCTGCAGCTTCCACCACTGCATGTTTCTTTGTGCCATAAACATTGACTGACCATTGTAAATCGCTTTTCCTTAGAGGATCAGAGAAGTGATACTAGTCTCACCATGATGCTTGCGAGGAACTCAGTAGCAGTTGTCTGGACAACTATGATGGAAAAAACTTTCTGATTACAGGACTGCAGCTGCCTAAAGCAAAACAGCCTTCCTAAACTGCATAGAGCGGCAGGTGGCTTAAAGCTGAAGAGCAGGGGCTGGCTTACTCTGTCTTTCTAGTATTTAGGAAATTGTCTTCATGGTGCCATGGGTGAACCCAGCTTGGTCTTCGTGTTTATTCAATATGAAGTGGGGACAGTGCAATCCTGGAAGACTGACAGGAGCTAGAGAACCGCTCTCTAACTGCAAGCAGGATTTTATTATATGGAAAGAGTTTGATTAGCATGAGGAAAGTATAAAGAGAGTAGGGGTAGGGAGGGAAGGGAGGCAGGGTCAATGGGAAGAGAGAATGGGATGGCAAACCTATTTAACAGAATTGATTTCAATCTGTCAACATTCAAAATTGTTTTACTATTAAATGTAGCTTGGAAACTGTCTTTGAATGTATGGTTGGTATCTGAAACTTTGCTGGGGTGGAGGGAAAGAAGTGGGAATAAACAAGATCAGGCGTGACAAATTGTACGTTCACCAGCACACTTCAATATGCTGCATTCCAGACCATTGCATTTCCTGATGAGTTTCCACCAGTTTGCGCTCTGTGTGAAAGCTACTTGTTCATAAGATACGGGGAAAAAGGCGGGGGGAGGAGAGGGAGGATTTGTATTTTGTTTCTCAGCTCTTCCACTGATGCTCTGCATTTTTTTTTTTTTTTTTT